TTGGAGCAGCTGCGTATTACCTAGTCATAACAAAATGAAGAATTCCGTGTGTGTGTGTGGTGTTGTTGTTATGTGGTGTGTGTAACTAAAACAATCATTCAGACATAAATCTAACACAAGATTAATACAAGAAAACAATTGGTGTCATGGCTTACTGCTAACCTTGAAACAGAGCAGATTTGAGCAGACTTTGAATCTTACTAAACTGCATTAATAACACATTAAAGTCTAATAATTATCTGACTGATTTATTAATTTCTAACACTTTATAAGCTTTAGTTACTTCTCATACCTTTAGTTACCTTTCATAACTTTATTTTCCTTGTTTATACATATTACAGCTGTATTGATGATTGTCCAGAACTACTTAGCTTTGGTTATTCTTAATACATTTATTTTCCTTGCTTATATATCTTACAATTGTATTGATGAGAATCAAGTGACACTGAGGTAGAAACTGTCTGCTGTAACTTCTGTGTAGAGCCAGGATGTCTGCATCTCCTTGTGACCAGACAGCCTATTTACATTTTAGCAAAGGCCTGTTTTACACTCACACCTCGACCCACTTAACATATCCCAAGCTTTGCTTTGTCTTGGGATGTCCTGCAGAGGCCGGGGGCTACAACCTGAGATGACCACCTGGCCAGTTTAACATACTTATTAGCAGTGACGGCTGGTGAGGCACTGACTCTTTTACAGTCAGATTTACAAATACAAATTGTCTGTTAACAGACAATGCGATATATTTTATATCTCATATCAGCATTCTTCACAAAAACGTGACCCATATTTAATTTGAGGTTAAAATTGATTCCAGTTGAGCTTATTTCTAACTAGAAATAATAATAATATATGTAAGCCTGTCGCTTTCTTTTATTTTCCTCAGTTGGTATTTTTAGTGGTGAGTGTTTGAATGTCATTTCTTTACTATCAATGTTTAAACATGGTGGATGGGTTTTATTTTGACTTCTAAATATGTCTGCAACTAATAATAATGTTGAGAAAACAATCTTATCACAAGTCCCATTTAGTACACTGAACAAAATTATAAACACAACACTTTTGTGTTTGCCCCCATTTTTCATGAGCTGAACTCAAAGATCTATGACTTGTTCTATCTATAGGCTGTTGTTTGTGGCCTGTGGAATGTTGGTCCACTCCTCTTCAATGGCTGTGTGAAGTTGCTGGATATTGGCAGGAACTGGAACACGCGTACACGTCGATCCAGAGCATCCCAAACATGCTCAATGGGTGACGTGTCCGGTGAGTATGCTGGCCATGCAAGAACTGGGATGTTTTCAGCTTCCAGGAATTGTGTACAGATCCTTGCAACATGGGGCCGTGCATTATCATGCTACAACATGAGGTGATGGTTATGGATGAATGGCACAACAATGGGCCTCAGTATCTCGTATGTCTGTGCCAGATGCCATCGAATGTGAGCATTTGCCCACTCAAGTCGGTTACGACGATGAACTGTAGTCAGGTCAAGACCCCGATGAGGATGACAAGCATGCAGATGAGCTTCCCTGAGATGGTTTCTGACAGTTTGTGCAGAAATTCTTTGGTTATGCAAACCGATTGTTGCAGCAGCTGTCCGGGTGGCTGGTCTCAGACAATCATGGAGGTGAAGATGCTGGATGTGGATGTCTTGGGCTAGTGTGGTTACAGTGGTCTGTGGTTGTGAGGGCGTTTGTATGTACTGCCAAATTCTCTAAAACGCCTTTGGAGATGGCTTATGGTAGAGAAATGAACATTCAATTCACGGGCAACAGCTCTGGTGGACATTCCTGCAGTCAGCATGCCAATTGCATGCTCCCTCAAAACTTGCGACATCAGTGGCACTGTGCTGTGTGATAAAACTGAGTGGCCTTTTATTGTAGCCAGCCTAAGGCACACCTGTGCAATAATCATGCTGTCTAATCAGCATCTGTGAGGTGGATGGATTATCTCGGCAAAGGAGAAGTGCTCACTAACACAGATTTAGACAGATTTGTGAACAATATTTGAGAGAATTAGGCCTTTTGTGTACATAGAAAACGTCATAGATCTTTTGAGTTCAGCTCATGAAAAATGGGGGCAAACACAAAAGTGTTGCATTTATAATTTTGTTCAGTGTAGCTTTTCTGGAGCTTTCAATCGCATCATACAGTCTCATTTGTTATGGAGCATTTGAAAGCTTTTTGTCCATGCTGGTACAAGGTGAAGAAATAACTTAGGACAGGTGACACATCTGACTCTGCTGTCAGTACAAGCATTTGATCCTTTGACAGTTTGAAGTCACTTTAACTGGCACAGCAGAACCAGCTCCAGTCCTTTGGCATCTGGATCCATGATTAAATCAAAGGATAATCAACTTTATTGGCCAAGTATGTTACACACAAGGAATTTGTTTCCGGTACAGGACTGCCGACACCGAGATTCAAACCTTCTGGTTGGGAGACGACTGCTCTACCCAATGCACCAGTGTTGCCTCCCTTGTAAAGCTGTAGAAACCTGCAGTCCCTGTCTCTTACCCACCTGTTTACACTCTTCAGGTATCATGAATGGATGAAGCGTCCTGAGCTGCAGCATCTGACTGCCTCAGAGCCACTGACCCTGGAACAGGAGTACGACATGCAGGGGAGCTGGAGGGAAGATGATGACAGTAAGACTTCTTCTGCAGTAAATGTACACACAGAAATGCTCTTATTCATCCTCTAAAGCAGTTGTTATAAATCTGAAGCCTTGCCAGACTTGGCCTTAGATTTTTTTCATGTGAATAACTGGACACCTTTATTTCTCTGAAAACTACCTAGAGAGAAAAGTAAAATCTTTGGTTGAGCCGATCATACAGCAGTGGCTGGAAAGAGAATGAGAGAAGTTTGGTTGTAGTGGAGATTCAAGATGGATGACAGCATGAGGCGTTCTGCTACTCAGGTGGGTCGCATTAAAAAATTGTAAAGTAAAAACAGTAAAAATCCCGTGTTGCATTCTGTATGAGGGCAGTGCGCAGATGTTTCGCTGGACATGTGCAGGACATACAGAAAAATTGAAATACTGTTTCTCTCTCCTAATATTGAATTCATATGATTATTAATTTCAATGTTGTTTTTATTTATTATTATTATTATTATTGAACACTCTGGGTTTCCATAAAAGGCTTTAAATCTGAACTGTCCTCACCTGTAAACCAACACCAAGTGTTTAGGTACTTCCATACTGATACAGAGCCTTGCTATGAGCTACCCATAATGGCTATAAGTAGCAGCTACAGTAGTTTTCCTTTCAGCAAACAGCAAATGTACCACTGAACATTTTCACAGTATAAAATCTTTATCTCTAGATATACTGTAGTCCCTGGGCGGTCGCAGTGGGTGTTATGCTTGAAAGGAAAGAAGCATAACTCAGTCCTGGCACTGTTGACTGCCCCAACACTACTCAACAAGGACACTGTCATTTTAAAAAGATTATTCAGCAGTTTGTTGTTGTTTTTCATACATACAAAAACAATACAAATGTATATTATAAAACAAAATAACATTTTAAAGGGTGCCCTAATGTTTGAGATATGGTTTACTATGATGACATGTCTACCAGCCACATCAATTTAAACATTTTTAGTGTAACACATATTATTTACCTTTTACAGAGCAGTTCAGAGGAAAGTAGGCTGTATACATAATCTTCACTTTAAAAGTAGAGTGAAGATTCAGTCTGTTAGATGGGAGGTCATAACTTAAAGTGAATTGTATCAGAAACAGAAAAAAAAAAAAAAAAAGTTTAAAAAATGTTTTTCTTTTATTAAATTCTTTAATTACATTTTTCTTTTTTTGCATTTATAAACAGAATAAAACAGAAACTCAAGACACCCAACCATGTGACCTAGTTAGAGTGTAGCCAGTCGACTTCTTCACACTTTGTCTTTCCTCCTCCAGGCTGTTTGTAAACTGACACACACCGTTTACGAGGATTTAGCACCAGACAGTTTCCCAGTCGCCTCCTTCCTGTCCCCTGCAGACCCACTTCCTTTTTTTAATCAAAGGATGATCCAGAAAGTGGTGAGGCCTAACAGCGCTGCCTGGTGGAGCACTGGAGCCAGACAGACAGATTGCACACAACAGGAGACAAATGAGCAGAGACTCGTGGGTAATTTGGCATGATAATGTGATTTGATGCAACCACTGAGACCTTTTTTTTTCTGAGGCTGTGTCTATATCTGCCCCTCAACCCCCTTCAATCAGGGGGCATTTGTTTTGGCATGAATGGATGAATTGATGGAAAACAGTTGATGAGAACTGGGCTGTGGAGAGAGTAAACGAATGAATGGGTGGAGATGGAAGTATGGATAGATAGATGGAAGATGAATGAAAAGCTGCCTAGATGGAGGGATAAATAGGAGGATGAATGGATTAATAACTAGGATTACTATAAAGCTGGATGGGTGGATGAGGGGTCATAGGTCACTTAGTCTCTCAGTCATGTGGGTAAAAAGAGCAAACTTTAAGTTAATCAGCAAATGAGTTTTAAATGGCTTTTGAGTGACTGACTGGGATTTACAAATGCTAGTATGCTAGTTGGCAGTTAATTATGGTAGCCACCTAACTAGTAATATTGCCCTAACGTTAGCCTATGGCCAAGCTGGCTGGTTAGCTAGTTGGCTAAGAGAGTACAACAAATGGCAACAATAGCTAATTATAGCTGTGAAAACAGCTTGTGGATGTCTTCTTATGATCACATACTAGGAGAGTTTGAGTTAGCTAACCTTAACTATACCCAGGCTGTCAAAAAAACACAGCTAACTAATTCTATGAACTAGTGATGAATGTGTGACAATGTTTGCCTTTTTTCAAGCATTTTGCACATACAAAAAAGTTCAAATATAACATAAGTGAACACATACCAGATCCAGGATTACTTTTTGAAAAACTATATTCATATGTATATTTTATCAGGAGGAGAGGCAGGTGGAGATGGGGTGTGAGGACAGGTTTTAAAACTGATTCATGATTGTATTAAACCCTGAAAGGAGAACAGGCAGTGATGGAGGTGGAGTTGCTGCCTGTTCAATGCCAGTTTCTCCAAGCAATAAACAGAAATAATACAATATGCTTAGCTTGTCATGAGCCCCCTTCAGCTCTGTGTCCTCACAGAGTCAGTGGAGATGTCATCACTCTCCTTCTTAATGTGAGGAGCTGATGCTTTTCTTTGTCAGATGTGAGAATCAGAGTCTGTGGATCTGCTGGTTGGACACAAGACAATGTGAAGACGCCACCTTTGGCCCTGGAGAGTCACAGTGGGACTTTTTCCCAGTGTCTGACATTCTGGGGATAAACAGATCAATCAGACCATCAGGATCAGATGATTGATCAGTGACCCTGCTGTTTGGATTTACAATCAATCAGGAGTTTCACATCTTCTGTCAAACATCTGTATAACACAGATGTGTCCAAGTGTTTTCTCATAAGGCTGTGATGTAAACATGCTGCACTGTGTTACTGTGATTTATACTGTTTTACTACACAACAGTGTTATTTTCCCAAAGTTTTTAGCAGACAACTGATTGTACATGGCTCTCACAAATCAATAATGAACCTCTAACCTTTCCATCCTGGCTGAAAACGGGTTCAGGACACAGCAGATGTAAACCTCACTGTGCCAAACAGACCAGTGCTGCTACAGTTTTTTAATGTGCTGAAGTTTCTCTCAGGCCAATAAGCTGCTTTGTTTTAGTTCAAACCTCTCTGTGTTTCTTTGCAGTTGAGACTGGTGTGTTGTTGGAGCCCCTCAGGGATCCAGTCCTCCTCCTCCTCCTCATCACTGCTGTTCTTCTGGAGGTTTTCATGTGGACAAGCTGTGGAAGGTAATGGACCACAAACTTCTAATCAGGGCCTTTCTGGGGCTAATTGACGGCTTTATTTCGACCCCATCGGCCTCGTTCGTCCTCACAGCCGGTGGAGTAATGAGGTGTTGCTTGATATGATGTCCCCCTCAGGACACCAACCCACAGATTGAAAGGTCCTGGGAGATCAGAGAACAGCAGAAGCTAATGGAAAGAAACAGGGACAAAAAAGAACAAGCAGAAAGCCAGAGTTAAAGTGTGAAAGAGACACAGGGTGTTTGTGCAGGAAAGAGAGAAGACACAAGTGAAAATTAAGACGTTCCAGCAAGAGACAGATCGATAAAGCAAAGAAAAGGTGAAGGAGCCACAGGGGACTGAGCAGAACACAGATCCCGAGGCAAAGACAACCATGTTCATTTTATTGGACTTTCCAGTTTGAGCCATTCATGCACTCTGCAAAGCCTTGAGTCGGCTGGCAACTTTAACAACCTTATACACTTAAATCCGCAGCCACTTCATTTTCACAGTTTTCCCACAAACTGTAGAAACAATTAAAATGCCAGTCACCTCTGCCTGTGCAGCGAGCCAGAGGGCCGCACTACGCTAGTTAGTGTGTGAAGGCGTGCTCATCCTGGCTGCGTCCGCCTGCCTCGGGTCTCTCAGCGGTAGAGTCTCTGTAGCATCTGGTCACTCAGCTGAGAAAATGGATTGTGAAATCTGCATGATCAGCAGATATGCATGTCTCTGGTTAGTTCACGTATCTGTAATGACAGAGAGGGCCGAACACAAAACAGCAGCTTTTAGACATCAGAGATTACAGCTGAAAGCGTTACAGATCAGAGATTTTATAATTGTGATGTCCTCTGATGAAATCAGCTGACAATAGCTACTCAGCTACATTAGCACTCCAGATTTAAAGGTGACTGAAGGTCATCTTTGTAACCTTACTGCCACTACCCAACATCCAGTAGAGCAGCAGATAACCAGGCAGAATGACTTCTCACTGACCTTGACTTCAGCTTCTGAGGGGAACTGACCATCATCGAATCTGAGGAGCCAAGTTTCAGATTTCTCAGACTCAGGTGTATCGATGGTGTTTGTGTGTCGTATTTCCTGCAGGGAGGTTTCTACTTTCAGTGACGTCTGCCGACTCTCATCACGTTATCTTTCCAGCAGCAGAGTTAGATTCCTCTGGTCTGACTCAGTTACTCAGCCAAAATATCCCTGTCAGTTGTGCTCATCAGAAAAGCTCCTGCTGTCTAATTTCATCAGAACGTCTTTATATTTCAGACATTTGAGCAGCAGTCACAACTCTTCTTTTCAGAGCCTGACATCTGTACTGAGATATAAACTTTTACAGAGGCTCAATCACCAAGTTACATCTGTCAGCAGACTGAGCTGTCATTTCTGCCAGTTTTCATGCCAGATAATAGCAGATAATTAAACTGCAGAGAGAGCGCGTTCATCTGACAGCTATACAGGCCTGTAGAGGAGAGCTTTACTATGAATAGACTGCAAATAAGAAGTTTTAAAACCTCTCATGTCAAGCTGGAGATGAGAGACCAAATTTGATTTATCTTCCATCTGGTGCTGTCTTGTGGCTTCAGAGCATCATAACATGACGAATGAGGGAAATTTACAGCTGATTTATACACCACAGGCACATGAATGGCTGGAAATCATTTGAAACTGAACACTACATGGCATCTGAAATATGCCCTCCTAACTCTCATCAGTTGTAAATAAACTAAAGTGCAGCTCAGTCTGTCTGTGTGGTGGACATTTTTGGATACAAATGAAAGATTAAACTAAAAGTTTAACTACATTGTGCATGCTCAAATGTTCCACTGTGTTAACACTTTTAGAACATTGTACAAGTTAAAGCTATAGTATGTAACTTAAAGTAGCACTAGCATGAAGCTCCAAGTCAACACACACTGCTCCACTATGCCCTGCTACGCTTCTGATCATGAAGAAATAATAGAACATCTCTGATTGGTTAAAGGTCAGTCCCACCCCCAGAACCTTTTTAGAAGCTAATATCTAAAACAGTTTAAAGTTTTTTTTCTCAAGCCACCAGTAGTTATGTCAAACAGCCACGGAGGAGCTCTGAGCGGCTAAATGTCTGAACCAGCGGCTGCCTGAGTGAAGAGGTGGCATCTTTTGCACAGAGAGAGTGGGACAAAGAAAGCAACAACCAGGGTTAACATGCATTTGGCTGTTTGACATTCAGAGGGTTAAAAAGCAGCCAGAGGACTCAGACTGGATTCAGATGTGGCGTTCTTCCTTCCGGGTGTGTTAACATCTAAAGCTAACCTGTTTGTTTTGGTAGCATTAGCCACCTAGCATGGCCAGGATTTTACCTTTGTATTGAATTAATATGATTTTAATTTGGGAGGAACTGGAGCTTTGTGTCACATCAGCAGAAACGAGCGTTCTACTGGACTGACACGTTTACTGTTAGCCACCTAACACTAGCTTCAGACTGGAGGCTGCGTTTTGTACAATTTGTCCCAACCAGGCATCCGTAGTTTATGTTGTTGCTAGGACACAGAACATGATGGGAGGGGCTAGGAGCGATTATGAGCAGCTGATGGTGTCAGTTTGTTTTGAGTCTCACTTGAGCCTCTGGGCTGAAAAGTCAGTAGGTAGAGGAGGATTAAAGTCAGCCAGAAAACTTGAACATGAACATTTGCTGAGAAACAAAAGCTCCTGAAGGAGCTTGTAAATAATTCTTGTGTGGAGACTCTTGTCAGCATTAGGGTTCATCTTTAGGGAACCACGAATGTGTACAAAAAATGAGAACCACAGAAGTAAAGTTAGCATAAGAGCTTTTATTAAACAATAAATGACGTGAATGTAGTCAACAAAATCAAGAGATTACAAACTCATACATCAATTAAAAACAAACAGGTGTAGCTTGGCACGTGTCATTTAACGAATGTGAACATATTCCTGATCCTTGTTTAGTTTGAGTATAAAAAGTTTTACCCCCTTGTTGCTCCAGAAAATACCGAGGAGAAAATACAGGAGAAATGTCAAAGCTCTACAGAAGCACATTCAAAGGAAAAAAATGGGAGGATCTTATCTTGTAATTATGACTTACTATCTCATAATTATGAGATCAGGAGCTTGTAATTATGAGATATGCAAAGGTTGAACGCTGCAGAACTCAACTGATAATCATCAGGTTTTAACAGATTCTTTAGTATCAGAATAGTCCAGTGACAGTCGTCAGTACGTCCAACAGCGCACAGCAAACCTGAACTCTTACTGGCTAATTCAGCGGACCTAGCGTTATAGACCCCCACCGGGCCTCAGAGTTGCTGCCTACAGTGTAACTCACTGTGGCCTACACATGCACTGAGCAGGAGCTGGACAGATTCAGGACTGGCTTGTTAAGGTTTCATCAGTTTTAACGTGATTCTCTCAGGAGAACAGCACATAACTGAAATGAAGTGATAACAGTTCATTTGCGGCCACGCTGACTCGTTTTATGGCAACAATATACTCTTTCTTGTAAAAGTATGATCTGTTCACTGGAATCAGCTTTTATGGTTCGATGCGATTTTTTTTACAAAATACAATGCCATGATCTGTTCACTGGAATCAGCTTTTACGGTTCGATGCGATTTTTTTACAAAATACAATGCAAAAAAAAAAAAGAGTTTTGTGTAAAATGGATATTTAAGCTCATACTCATTGTGCACGGAGCCCAGTACTCTGTAGACTCTAGGACACTGGATCCAGATGGTTAAATCAGACAGCTGGTAATGCCTCAGTCTTCCTCAATAGCCACGGTAACAGGCAGTTACAACATCCGGGTCTCTGGAGCTCGTGGTTAAAACGAAGCATTAAAGACGAATACTGATACTAAAGAATCAGGTAAAACCTGATGATTTTCAGGTGAGTTCTGCAGTGTTCCACCTCTGCATTATCTCATAATTACAAGATCAGGATATTCTAATTATGAGATAGTAAGTCATAGTTATGGGGTAATATCCTCCCATTTGCGCTTCTGTAAAGCTCAACCCAAGGTGATCAGAGTAGCTTGATTTTCACAGCCAAGCATTAAGATTTCTCAGGATATTAAACATGAGCTCCAGTCATGTAAACCACAGCAGAAAACAGTAACTGAACCCCGCTCATCCTCAAAATTACGATGCTCTGTGTCGATAGTTCCAGTAGTGTTAGCGAGCAGTAAGCAGTAAAGGGCTACTCAGACATTGCGTAGACCCTTGTGTGTATGCAGACAAGGAAGCACAGGTGTTCCTGTTCAGATTTCCCCTCGATCGTCTACCTTCTGTCCAGTCGTAGACTGACATTGTTAAACCACTGTGGTACACATGGACGTGGAAAGTGTAACGTCAGTTTTCGTTGTCACAAGATGTTCATTCCCTGAACTGCATTTAATCGCAAGGAAGTTTTTTTTTTTTCTTTTTTACAGAAAACATGCAAATAGAAAAAACCTCAACATTCTGACAACACAAAAAGAACACAAGCAACAACAGAACAAATTACGACCAGAAAAGTCACTAAAATGTGTATTTGCAGTGTTTCTTTTTGCTGCCGTCAACATAGCGAAGCTTGTTTGTAGGGTTTTTTCTAAATGTTAGGTATGTGTTGATTAAGAGGTGAAGATCTTGGTAACACAACTTGTGATTTTAACACAACTATTACTTGGGTATCAATGAAATGCTTAGTGGTTCCTACTGGTAGTTAAATGTAGGTACAGTGTTGGGACGGTCAGTGATTTTCAAATATTTGAAGTAATTAAAAAATCTAATATTTCATACAACTATGGTTTTGTCTTTAGAAACAAAGAACCACCGTCTTCCCTTGTTTTTACCAGTGCCTGGAAATAACACAGTAAGAGGTCAGTATATCATTTAACCACAGCGCCAAATACACTTAGCAGAAACATGCGTAGACTACAGCCACCGAGAAAAACCTCTTGCCTGTCACTTAAAGTGGCCACGCTTTAATTAGCCGTAACTTTTAGTCTCAATATAATTTAGCGAGTCATAAAAGAATTCGCCCCCCTACAATTGTCATGGAAGGAGAAATTAGCTAGAGGCTAAAACAGTTTTTTGTACCAGGCTATAAACGTGTTTCTTTCTGCTGTAAAGTTGGACATTTTAACAGGGGGGGTCTATGGTCGACTGACTCCCTTTTGGAGCCGGCCTCTAGAGGTCGTTCGAGGAACTGCAGGTTTTCGCATTTCTGTGTCGGCTTCATGTCTCAGCCTCGTTCCCCCAGTGTTCTTTCCCCGAGCCTACAGTTAAGTAGAAACCAGTAACTATTATATTGGTGCCTTATCCATTCAACATAATTAAACTGTCAGTTGGCCTGTATTTGTCACCAATAACAAATTAATTTTCAGCTATTTCATTCGTATTAAAGAAAATTTGCCCAAGATGTGCTTGTTCCTGCTAAAGTTAGGATTTTTCTTTTTTTTTAATCATTGTGAACTGAATGTTTTTGGGAGGGATGCACCCATACTGCTTTTTTCAGATCAAGTACGGGTACTTAATTTGAGTACTGACATGAGTACTTAATAATAATGCAGTGTTTCTACAATAAAAATTACAATTAGTGCAGTGATTGAGATTTACTTTCTGATTGTGATTCAGTAAAATGTAACAGGAGGCTGTGCGGACTACCTTAAAACTTGTCAATATCACGACAGTGTACATATGACACAAAAGTAAAGAAATGTGTTCATACAGCACCTGTGGTGTTATGGCCGCAGCTTACTGCTCCAGGTTTCTCCTGAATATTCTTATCTGCATTTTCTTTCAGCTTCTCATCCCCAGCACGTGTTCGTCTGTGTTTCATAGCAAAAGGGTTAAACACCAACATGCTCTGACATCTGGTCCCTCTCCGTTATGAAAGTGGCATCTTGTGTGTCTGTGATGAAGCTGTGTTACTGCTGAACTGCAGAAAAAGGAGGACAAGGTGAAGTAATTCAGTCTTTAAGAAGTTAAAAAACCAATCCCTCCTCTGCCGCCCCCCCCCAGGCTCAGTTTGTACCTGAGAGGAGGAGTTTAGTTTAAGACAGCGCACGTAGAAAAAGTAAGGTTCCAGTTATGTGTAGTAGTTTCTTAAGCCCAGTCACTTGTCTTGCAGGAGCTCAGTTTGATTGGATCCAGCTCAGGTGTTGTCTGTTCATCAGAGCTCTGTTGTATTCAGTCCAGTCACAGCGAACATGAACGCTCCTCCGTCTGTCCACCTGACAAACATTTTCCTCTGTTCTCCATCTTTTCTTATGTCTTCTCCCACATTCTTGCCTCCGTGGTTTTCTCTTTCTTCTTTTGTCTTCTCCCCTCCACACTCATTCCTCTTTTTCTCTCACCCCTCACCTTACTCCCACCTTCACACTTCAATCCTCCCTTTCTTTTTGCCTTTTCCCTCTCCTCTTACCTCCAATCTCTTTCTCCTTCCTCTCCCTTCTTTTCCTTGATCCTCATCTCTTTGTCCTTTCATCCTGTCTTTTCTCCTCCTCTCCTTATCCTGCTGGTTTCCTTTCTCTCCTCTCATCCCTTCTCTCTGCTTCCACCATCTTCTCTTATGTTTTCTCCACCCTCAATATCACATCTCTATCTTTCTCTCTGATCCTCCATTCTTTCACTTCCATCCTTTTTCCATCTTTCTTCCCTCCTACCCTCCCCTCTCATTTCCTCTTCTCTCCTCCCTTCCTCCTCCCACTCGTGTCCTTCTTCTCAGCTTACCTTCCTAACAGACGGACAGGTGGACAGAGAGACAGGAGCGTTCGGTCCAACCAGGATTCTTGGTTTTGATCACATGCCTGTGGAGGACAGTCCCAGTCTGGCTGCCTTACTCATACAAGGTAAACCCTGAGCTCCTGCCTTTGGAAAATCATGCGCCACCACACGGCCGTTCTCGCCTCCCAGCTCCGAGGCTGCTCCTCCTAATCCGCCCACCGCCCCTGCTCCTCCTCCTGCTGCTGCTCCTCCACTGTCTGCCATCCCACCGAGACTGGTACTCATCATAGCGGCATCGATAAGCTCCTACGACACAGAGAGGAGAGGTTGTTAGTTGGTCACATTACTGAACAGATCATCTGACACATTTTGGATCGGGTGGAGTCTGGTTGTTCTTTGGCCAGGGCTAATTTGTTCTTGTGTCTTTCTTACAAAAGAAATCTTGATCTCCAAGAAGGCTTTCTGACTAAATAAAGCTAACTAAATACATTTTGCAACTGCAGCTCTCATAATGCTTTGAGGGGCATGTTAGAAATTAATAGTCAGATAATTATTAGACTTTAATGTGTTAGACTTTAATGTGTGTTAGTAATGCAGTTTAGTAAGATTCAAAGTCTGCTCCTGTGTGCTCTGCTTCAAGGTTAGCAGCAAGCCATGACACCAATTGTTTTCTTGTATGAATCTTGTGTAAGACTTATGTCTGAATGAATGTTTAGTTACACATCACGCATACAACATACACACACACTGAGCTACCTCATTTTGTTATGACTAGGTAATACGCAGCTGCTCCAAGAATGTGGAGCTCTAGATAAGAGATGGACTCTGCGGGACGGATTTCATATGTGTAAGGGGTTAGCCCAAAACTGATAAATGTATTAGGCTCTGTGTTTCCAGGTGCTTTTTTCCCTGCTCTCTTCTCCAGCAGCTTGTCTGAAGGGGGGAGCCCTGGGTTGTGTTCTGTAATCCTTTTTATACATATATTTATATATATATTTTTGTAAATAAACCAGCACTAAAATCAATAAAGACGGACTCCTTTTTTACTCAGATCTGTCCAGTAAAAGAACTGGGGTATAACAGGCATGTACAGGAATTATGTTGCTGCCACAGATTCAGTGAGTTGCACTGCAGGCTATGACCTTTTAGCTTGTATTGTCTACATTTTGCCAAATAATCTCCATTAAAATTAGCAGAATTAGCTGTGATCAGCTGCTGTTCACAGTGTAAACAGACGTAGAGACAATTATAGCAGAATGACTGTGGCTATATCCAGCTTTTATAAAGCGGTCGAAGATGGATGGATGGATAGACTGTGATAGTGAAGAAAACAAACAGCTGAGCATTCTCAGGCAAAATACCTTAATCCATGAGTTTAGCGTCACAGCTGCAGGACAGAGCTCAGCAGCTCTCTCTCAACTTCATGGTCTGAAACCCCTACACCATAAAAAGCTTTTCAACAAATAAAGTTGTTTCTGCAAAGCACAGGCTTGTGTGTGTCACTTCCATCAGTAATAACAGTAAAAGTTGTTTCTGAGTAGCAGAGTAAGTCTCTCTCAGTTTCTCCTCTCAGAGAAGCTAATGATGTGGATCCAGAGTTAATACCTTTTATCAGGCCTCTGAGGCTTCCACACTCCCTCACCGTTTGCCGCCTGACATCAACAGTCGTCAGACAGATTGGTGCAAACAAATCCCAGGTTTATTCATTTACTGGAGCAGCTCTGGCACTTACAACCCCTCTGAGCGAACACTCCCACATCTGAACAACAAAGCCAAACGTGCATCTCCCTCCTTCTTTCACCTCGACAGCAGGGCGTTAACATCTAGCAATCCACCTAAGTCAGCTTCCAAACACTGTAAACACTAGGTGAACAGTATCTCTCGCTTGTCAGTCTCTTTGATAGAAGGTTTATTGTCATAGCCCATCTACATATGCTGCCAAAGCACAAGAGTACAGCATTTGTCACAGTGTCTTTGCCTGCAGGTGTAACAGCCACCTATTAAAAAATCTCACAGCAGGTTTGTGATTTAGAAGCCTCAATAAAAAAAAAAATCTTTTTTCTTACAATAAATAAATAGCATGGTGCAAGAAGCCTTATGAAATACTAACTTCTCTTCCTGCTGCTTACGCATCCACCCACCATTCAAATTCATGGGAATGAGACAGATGGGAGGAAACAATGACCTTTAACCACCAAAATCTAATCAGTTCATCCTGGAGTCCAAGTGGGCGTGTCTAGGAATTTGAAGAAAATCCCTCAAGGTGTTCACAAAACGGGATGGACGGACAGCCTGAAAACATAATGCCTCCAGCCACAGCTGGGCCTGTTGGTTCTGCTTGTGGTGGTTTCGACATTATGCCGTGTTGTAGCATAAACACAACATGCAAACTTGTACTTTAATAACTGAACTGTCAAAAAAACAAAGGGGTGAGGTGTCAGAACAGCCTCACAGTTAGTCTGCAGTAAAGCCAACCTCTACTCCAGTGTTACAACAGAACGTGCTGCAGTATTTATGGGTATCAATAATGTATCAGAAGAGAATCCATCTCGATGTGTTTCTGCACGGATTATCAGTCCTCTATGTACCGCAGATCCACCTCTACAGCAGGTGACTGCAGTATAGCCTGCTCTGACTGATGAAATGTTGTGTCACTGCTGCCTTCAGCGAGGGTGTTAAGTCCTGCTCAGATAAACATGTGAAGAGAATAACAAAAGACCAGCAGAGGGTAACAGACTGGTGCTTCTGCTGTGCAGAAAATGGCTCTAATCACTTGTTTGTTCCTTCTGAGCAGCCCATCAAAGCCTCAGTACAAACTGCCAGAGTCTGTAATGAGCTGCCGTACTTTCATCACATAAATACAAGCTTGATAGTAGAGTGTCAGATAAGTTGATGCACTTTCATATAGCAGTAATGCTAGTGCTCCTGCCCTGCAGTGGCTGTTACTCGGCTCGATAAAGAGCTACTTTAAGGCAGAGCTGCTGTATTGAGAAAGGCCCTGATGCACAATTATGAATTTTATAAATCATGTACAGTTCTCTGGAGCACCAGAAATATTTATATCTGAGCAGAAGATAAATAATCACCTTATTTTCATTTCATAGTTCATGCTGGTATTTGCTCAGGTTTAACTATTAACAAACTCTAATTGAAAATGTCCATTTATTAAAGAATTTAGAGTGCAAGTTAAAAAATCCACTATCTATGGCTGGAGCCACCATGGAGGCATCCAAGTTTTTGGATTGTCCGTCTGATTCTCGTGAACGCGATATCTCAGAAACACCCTGAAGGAATTTCTTTCAATTGGCATGAGTGTCAAGTGTTTTGGTGAGAAACCCTGAATGTAAAAAGGCACCTAAATCACACTTCTGTTGCTACGTCATAGTTGGATTTACCTAACATTCATAAGTCATGTAATTATAACTGCATAAATAAAATTCATAAATAAAATTTCAGCTCTCACCGACCGACTGGACTCACCTTCATCCTTCTTGACTCGATCCGGGACTTGTAGCAGAACTCGACCAGAGCCACGAGCATGGCCAAACCCAGACCACCTATCAGAATATAAAACACTCCCGCCACATTGCTCAGACTGAGCGCGCTTGTCTTGTCCTGTCAGCACAGAGAGGCGGGTCAGGGACAACCAATCATGGTGCTGATAGTCATTACATCACTACATCTTCTGAAGATAGAGTAAAACACAGCCAAAACCCCCAATGCTAAATACCATGTCTAAATAAGAAGATGCTTTGTTCAGCAACTCAAAGGCTGTGATTCATGGGCCACATGTCGCCGTGAAATACATTTTCCATTGACAGAATAATGTGACTGACAGTAGGAGCTCCACTGCGACTGGACTTTACTTTCACTATCACAGAACCACATGTAAAGGCTTAAATGGAAGCAAACAATTGTACCATTAAATGCACAAGAATAAATTACTTTATTTAAATGTATGCATCTCCATAAAAATAAAGTATATTAACTATACTTTTTTCAAAGAACAAAACTTTGTTTTGTTCTTTGAAATATTTCTCTGGCATCTGTTTTGACTGAAACTGTTTGGTCTTATTGCTATGATAGTAAATAAATGTTGTGGTTAAAGAAAATGATGTATAGAAAATATAAATGGCCCTTAATGTACAAATGGGGGCACAGGTTTAATAAAATTGTAGGGCTGGGAGGATGTTTTCATTTTTATTAAATACAAAACAACAGTATTACTTATAAACTTACAGTATATATTCACATATTTGTGGCTTATAAATTGCAAATTTATTTTGAGACCTGCATTTACATGATGCAGCACTTAGATCTGGTTAATAATCAGTTTGTTTCACATGTAAGTAAACTGTAGTTGTAGGTGCGCACACACCAGGGGGCGCTACAGAAACAGGTTAACTCTCATAGCAGTTTCCTCTCAAAGACCACTTAGGTTTTCGTTTTTTTGTTGTAAATCTTTATCATTTTTGACTGTTAAGTTCAAAAGCCTTTATTGTAGAATATGCGTTTTTATATGTAGAGATACTGCTTGCAGCCAATGATGCATGAAATTTGTATAATATGATGTCATGGGGTAGGACTGGATAAGTCTGACTTCTTCCTACTCCATTCAAACATGTAATAGGTGTAAGCAGACTGATTTTGGATTAGCATTGGTTGGATATGTGTAATTATGTGTGTTGTTGTCATTTGTTCATTTGTTCTGTTCTACATGTTTGAAAGAATAAATCAATCAATCAATCAATCAATATTTATATTTCATTCAGTCTGTTTTAATAATTGATTTTTGAGCAGAAATGTTGGACAATTTGCAGCTTCCAGTCTTTTTACTGGTTTACAGTTAAAGTTTAAGTTTTGCTCCATTGATCTCAGACAAAAACAAGAAAAACATCTGACCACAGCTTTAAATTCTAACAGCGTGTTATAGGTAAATTTAAGCTAACACTACAATCTGCAGCCTAAATTTTGTTTTCCAGTTCTGGGGCAACTGGATGATTTTTTTCCCCCACAAAGGCGCTGCTTTAAAAGCCTGAATTCACCACTGCTCCGTCTTGCATGTCATCTCTAGGTATGCCAGCCAAGGCTTGTTGGTATTCTAGTATTTAGAGCAGTCCCCCAAATTTGATTTGATTTGATTTGATTTATTCTTTCAAATTGATGGTCACCTTTAACCATCACGTCCTATTGAGGGTGAAACGACCTTTTTCATTGCCTCAAATCACAGCCTTTGACAGTCCAGATTTATATACCTGTCACATGCACTTCATGCACAGGGATTCAAGCAGAATGAGGGACAACAAAGTCAAAACTCACTACTATACTACTATATTTCACAGGTTCCCCACATCTAGTTTTATTTTGCATGAGTAAAAAAAGTGATATCTGTGCTTGTGTTCACAGCACAGTATCACAGTATCAGGCTCATCAACCCATAGAAAGGACAAAAGTTTTCTATGACATCTTGTGTTTGCCTGGAACATGCATCACTTGGTTTTGGTTGATGTGACTTAACTTTCTCATCCCTGCAGTCGGTTAAAAACAACAAAACAAACAGGAAGGAACAGCATTCATAGTGAACAGGGCCTCTCTTCAACAGAAAGTGTTGTGAAGCTGGGGACAGCCTATCTGTGGGCTTTCCTCACCAAACTGTCATGTTAACCTCAGCCAATCAGCTTCTGCAGAATAATATTAAGACACTTTAAAGTCAGACTGAAATCAAGACCAACTATTACTTTTTTAAGAAAAATGTCTCTGTCAGGGGGATGCTGATAAACATGTTTGTGAATTGATTCCATCCAGTTAATTTTATAAGTATTTGCCACCTGCACTGAAACCGACTTTTTTCTTCCTTTTCTGCTTTTCATTAGCAAATAGCACAGTCCTGGTTTAATGGCGCCATCTGTCACACAGCTGGATGGATAGAAAGTTAGGACCAGTGCAGCCCATCATGAGTCAGCGTATTTGTGGTCAGGACATTGGCTCCAGTATAAAACACTGATGTAAGCTGCTGGGTGCTAACTCACACCAAAGGCCTATTTAACAACAGCATTTAAAATAGAAAAGTTTTACAGAGAAATTCATTCATTTCAGCTGACTCGACCCCAGTAGAGGATTCACTGTGTAAATCTTTAGCTTCGAGTTTGACTTTGGTGACCTTTGATGAATGCTGAACTGGGACGTTTGACCTGGTGACCAGTACTACAGCAGGCTTTCCTCACTGTGCTGACTCTTGACTGAACGAGGACCATTCAGTTTTACCAAACTTGCTCTCACAAAGACAGTTCCTTGGTAAACCACACTAAACCAACAACCTAAAGTTGCAAACACTCCAGTCACCAGTGTCTGTGTGCAGATTGCTGTAGTTTCAGTCTGACTTCAGGATTACCTCTTTTCCTCAGTGTCACACTGACAACAGACTGATGAGCTGATTTACAGTATCAGTCACAGTCTGTTGCACAGTGAGTTTAGAGGAAGCAGGAGGTAGATGACAGATTGGAGAGAAAAACTGAGTGTGTGTGTGTGTGTGTGTGGGAAGGAAAGGAAAGGGGGGAGGGGGTAAAGCTGTGGACAGTGGCTTCATTTTAGTTTGGTTAACAGCCATAAACAGAGAAAGAGGGAGGGAGACATAAGGTAATAGCAGGAGTAGCAGGGAGAGAAAGAAGCATGAAAATATATTTGCAGTTTTGAAAAAAATCTGAATTTTTACAGTCTTGCTTTAAAATTTGCCTGAAAACATGACTTTTTTAAAAAAATCCAGAATCCTGTACCACCACCATGATAGACTAAACATAAATGTACATGTACCACCCAAAGACAATCTAGATTTGTGAGTAAAATAAGTGTAAAAAGTCAGATTTTTCAGCAGAGTCCCTTGGCTGGCTGTCTGTCTGCAGCTGCTTCCCGTGATCTGTGCTGACCCACTGAGTTTCTGGAGAACAGCAGGAAGGCTGAGCAGAGATGAGAAGAAACCTGAAGGATTTCTACTGATCTCCAGACATGAAAACCCCTTATCTTCAAAAGCCTGCTTTGTCCAAATCATTTTCAAATCATTATCCAACTCATTTTCTCAGCAATTTGCATGAATTTGTCTGAGTGTACGCAGTTTTGAACGCATTTTGTAAAAACTAATCTAATAGCCTATACTCAGCATTTAAGTATGGAGTCTTGGGGTTTTTTCACGCCATCAGAATACTTAAATACTTGAATGTGATCGTGTTCTGAATGATTCCTCCTCCAGCTCTCCAGAATGGTCAGCTGAGCAGTGTTACACTCTAAAAACAAAAAGTTCTTCAGGAAATAAAAAATAAGCTCTGTAAACACAAAGGCAGATTTTTGTGCCATAGTTAGTGATTTCAATCATAGCCGGTAGCTTAGCTTAGCACAAGGACTGGAAACAGGAGGAAAGCCTGTCCAGATGCAACAGAAGCCACCTTCCTGCACCTCTAAAGCTCACTAAACAGGAGTTTGTATATTTGTTTAAAGTAAAACCAATGTACCAATTAAACAAACTATATAAAACATGCTTATTAGTGAGACTTAGATGTGGTTTAAGGCAGATATTGTTACCTCTGGATCTTATGCATATTTCCTATCTGTTCATCGTACTGAGCTTGTATTTAATGTTCTGAACTTGTATCTGTCTTGATTTTGAAATCACTTTGGTCAAACTGTATCTTATTCACAGAAATAGAAGTATATTCAGGTAACTCTTTGGGGCAATATAAACATTTAGAGGTTTAGTCACTGGAAAAAGAAACAAAAAAGCTGACAAATTGAACTACAGAAACTTTCAATTAGCACCAAATATTTCGCCAAACAAACTAAGAAAAATACTATGGAAGTTTCTATTTAAAGGAGACTTATATCTGGAGTACAACTTTTCCTTTTCAGAGTGTACCTGCTGACACTATTTGGGGCTTTGGTGTGAGGGTCTGATAGGGTAATGGGTGGATGGGGTAAACCAACACATGACCTTGGGACAAGGCCGAGTGACCTCAAGAACTGACCTTTCTGCCGGAGTCCTTGTGTCCACACTCTCCCTTGTCATACCACCACTTGTTTTTCAACTTGTCTAAGATGGCTTGTTCATTGAGCTTCAGTACTGCTAGGTTTACTGGGATTCTTCAAAGAACCATGGGAGGAAGGGAAGGGGGATGGGGGTTGGGAATAACATAAATAACATTATGCACCTCCATGTTATCTTATGTTATTGTTCAGCTGCACAGCAACAGGGCTGCAATGGCTACGGCAGCGGCGGCAGTGGTGGCAGCAGCGATTTTAGCAAAAGTGGCATTAGCAGTACAGATGCTATGGTACGCCACAGAGAACACCTCAACGACAACAAAAAGGAAAACAAAACCGGACACAATGACACATAAAACTGTTTTGGAAAATGTCAGCGTCAAAGTGATATGCGTTAATACTCCATCTAGCTTGGTTTGGCCTGACTCCCTACGTGCGAGATGTGTATTACTATATCACTTTGGGTAACCGGCAAGAGCTGAAAACACTCCAGGGTCTTTGGGCTTATAGAACAAAAGTGCTTCAGAAAGATCCAGTCTGCTGCCCCGAAAACAGGAAATGTATAAATAGCATTCTGCAGGGGAGGTAGGTTTGCCAGTGTCAACACTGTCCAGAAACAAGACACTGACTGACCAGGGGGAGCATTTTACTAAGCAAGCTAACTGGATAACTCTAGTTTAATTTTAACATAACACCAACACAGGCCTTGTTTTGTTCTGAAAGCCTGGACTTTTTAAGTTTGTTTAGTAAAATGCCCTCTGGACCAGAAGGTGAGAAGTTGGACACTGTCTAGGTCAAAGAGTGAATAATTTCAATGGATCAATCTCCTAATAAAGGGCTGTACCCGGTGTTACTGTGACTATGAAAGAGCAAACATTAGCTCCCAGGATCCTTTCAGTGGGAGCATCCAGAGTGTTTTATGTGTGATTTTCAAGGTGTAGGTTGTTGCCGGTTACCCTGGTGTGCCATTGCCTGTCGTTACCCGTTGGGGTTACGGTGATCTGACCTTGGAGTCCCCTCCCCCGATGCCGCACTCTCCCTTGTCATACCACCATCTGTTTTTCAATTTGTCCAACAGGCCCTGCTCGTTCAGTTTTAACACTGCCAAGTTAACAGGGTTTCTATGGGAATGATAGTAACAATAGGGGATAGAAGGGAACTAGGTGTTAATAAGCAGAGGACTGCCATAGTGAAGACAGCAACATCATTACATGTATCTACTAATGACAGGCATGTTGTTATTACTGTAATCATAAAATGATTGGTGCATTAAAGGACATATTTACTGCTCTTTGTCCCAGACCTTGTTAAACCGTTGCCTCTCATTAAGTTGTACCTATCACATCCTCATAGCTTTAGTTTGAGAGATTCTTCTGCAGCCATTCACTGGCCTTCAACACTATCCAGTGCCCTAATCTCAGGCTTTCAAAAACAAACCTCCTTTTCATAGATGTAGTTCTACAAAAGCCAGCTTGTTTTCAGTACAGGCAGCCTCGACTGGTCGCTATTTATTATTTACTAAGGATGGGACGATCACTATACAACTAAAATTTCAATGACAACAATGTATGGTATGACTAGTTGAGAAAAACACTTGTACTTTATTCCTTTTTTCCCCTTTTCTAGCACTGGTTTGATTATATAAAGAACAACCAGATACTGTATATTGACTTACGTACTGATAGGCTATCTTATTTACAAAAAATATGAAGTTACTAGTGTATGAAGAACATGCAATACACATTGTGATGTTTCTGTATTGCGATATATTGAATTTCAATATATTGTACAATCCCTATTCACTAGACACTTGGCGTAATAGCCGTTCTCTCAAGCCAGCAGCAGTAATGCAGGGATTGGACCAGACTGGTTAAGGTGGCACTGAGCTATAACGTAAATCTTCCAAACTACCACTGAATCTTGATGCTGACCATGTGTTTTGGATACTGAGAGTAGCTCATTGATCAGCTACAGCAAAAGGGTTAGTTTCTCCAAACCGAAGCCATCTGTGAGGTGAAGGAAAGCACCACTTTAACAGGGTCTGGGTTGAAAAACAGCAAATAATCATTTTACTGACTATACGCAGCAAACCTTGACTTGCATTCATTTCCATTCATTGCCTGATAAATAAAGGCGGAACAACAGTCAAATGTTTGGACATACAATAAATACTGTGTGGAATATAAAATGTTAAAATAACTTCAGGTTTGAATTAATCAGAAGTAGCAAAACACCTTATACACTGGTTTCAATTTCCACTCATCTCCCAAGAAAACACCATATGGCACCTGTTGTTCCCCTTTACATACCAGTAATGATCAAAGCCAGTGTGGCAGAACAGAGCAATGTTTTTTGTTTTTTTTTAATGGTGATGAAAAAAGAATCAGTACAATGACCAGTGATGAGGCATCCAGTAGCAACAGTGTGAAGGGACAATAGCAATAAATAATGATAGCAACGGAAGAGTTTTGTTCTAAAGTGCATTATGCTTCTAAAATATACAATAAAGAAATAAGTTTAAATAACATTCGGGGTAAACCAATTAGTCCAGGTAAATATACCATGTCAATCCAGCTACACTGTTCAAAGAAGAATCAGTTGGTGAGTTGTGAGAGAGATTCCAATATATAGGAAACCAAGGCATTTGGTAAAATAGAATTCTGTCAACTTAAAACTTAAATTACATTGTATTTAGTTATACAGCTGAAGCTGCCATTTGACTTTGAGCAGAATGGTGGTGTTTCTCAGTTACCAAAAACCACATTATAAAAATACTGCCTTAATCTCTTTGCTCACTTTGGCAGCAATAAAAGATATAAAAGCACTAAAACCATTTGCTTTTCCATTTTTTGGCATTGCTGCTTATTTTCTTTAAGTTATCAACAGAGCATTTTGAAGTGATGTACATTCTAACAATGCCATTTTGGAACAATACTCTCCACTTAGATAAGTAGCACAGTCAGCAGCAGCAACACCAGTGCAAAGCAGATGACAGATGATGAAATGGAGCATTTGACTTAATTTGTCAGCTGTTAGTACTGGGGCCCAGAGACTGAGCACTGACGCTGCTCAAAGGAAACGAGTTAAAGTTTTGGATGCAAGTTAATACACATTATGCTCAGCATTCAGTTGATCAGTAAGTGATCACAAAAACTGACATTTCTTGTTCTATTTTCAAAAATGGTGAAAGATTTAGCACTTTCTGCTTCTGAACACTGACAAGAAACCAGCAGACAGCAAAGGGGATAGCTTCCACAGCTCTGCTGTTTTTACTCATGTTGCTGTTACAACTCATTACATGTAGAGCTATCAGAAATTCTCACTTATTAATTTGCCTTACACAAAAAAACCACTTTACTACAAAAGCAGCATCTAAAGTCACTTTGCTTGGCTCTGACTGGCTGTCTCTGATTGATATAGTCTGGAAGTACACACAAACCTTTTTCAGGGATTAAATAATTTATAACAAAGGAACATGCAAATTATCACAGTCAGCGTGTACTAATCTCATTTTTGGAGTAATTTTCTTTCTCTGACTCTGGGTTGGCTGTAAAATGCTGATGTGAGGCAGAAACAATGAGGACAAGATGTTCTGTCTCAGAACATCTGATAAAAACAAAGAGGAGGAAAAACATGAGGCCGCTGTTAGGTAAAACTACATTTACCAGACTCCTGTAGGTGATATTCACTGTTTAGCTGGTTTCTGTTGATTTTTTATTTTGTTATCCTATAAAAGCAGTAAAAAGCCAACACCTACAATTATTTCCAAATCTGTATAAAATGTTCATAGTTAATTTGAGAGTTTCAGTAGATAATCATTCACCTTTAATGCTGTTAAACAACAATTCACCTTTACATCAATAAATCTGTAAATGAAATTATTTGATCACAGATAGCTGACCAGATTTGCTGTTCTAGATTCTTACCTCAAACTGCAAAAAATGTAACTAGACACTAACCAAAGTTTTGGAAAAAAAGGAAAACATGAATACATAAATTGTCTGTAGGACATTACCAGGCAGCCACTTTGTGTGCGGTTTATTGTATCTTTACCATGTTTAATTTGCAATTATCTATGACATACATAATTAATTAGCACCAATTTGGCAACTGATTGTTTGCAATATGTGAAGCAAATTTTTCAAAAACTTACTGGTTCCCAGTTCTTAAATGTCAATATTTGCTAGTTGTTGGTCAGACAACAAAAGCAGCATAAATATGTTGATTTACTATTATCTGACATTTTACTCACTAAACAATCAGCTGATAACTGCTGCTTGCAGACTTACTTTTCCTATGATGTATAATACTACCACTACTAAGGTCTGTGTGTTAATTCACACACAGAAAAAATATAAACAATATGATGAGTACAAATTTTATACAAATGATTACAATATAAACTGAAACAATTAATCAAATTATGCAGACAGACATAGCATGAAGTAAAATTGGCTTTTGGCCCTTGGGAAGTCAGGGATCTTTAGGTACTTGTCTGCTTTTCCCAGTTAGTAATTCAGTCTCGGCACTTTGACATTTTGAGGAATTAACTCCCTTAATCTCTGAATATTGATTGCGTACTTCTGTACGTTTTAAGTGTTGCTATTGTAGCAGTCCTCTGGGTGGACGTTAGGTTAGATGACTGATGAGTTCATGCTGAGTGTTTGCTAGGAAGTTGCTATGATGGGTGGTTGCTAAGTGGTTACTGGTCAGATAATTCAAGAATGGAATGCTAGAGGGCTTCTAGGTCAATGCTAGGTGGTCTTTTTGGTGTTCTGGTCGCTAGGACATTACTAAGTGGTTGCTGTAGTGTTCTGAATGGCTGCCACAGTGTTGCTAAGTGGTTTTTAGATTGCATTTATGTGGTTGCTGGTGGATTCTGGGTGTTTTCTTTATTGAATTGTTGGGTCAACAGCAGTTCAGTTAAATTCCCAGTTCAGGAGTAATTATCATTCTTGCTTTTGGATTCAGTTCAATCAGTATTTACTTTAGCAATAATTTAACCATTAATTAAACATGACCAAACATGGAAATGAGGTTTTACCTAATAGCAGTGAATCTTAGACAGAGAGACAGATAGATAGATAGATAGATAGATAGATAGATAGATAGATAGATAGATAGATAGATAGATCAAGCTGTTAGCAGCTTTGGCAGTATTCTGGTGATTGAAGAGACAGAGACATGCAGGTTGGCAGTTAATTAAACATAACAGACAACAACAGAGAGGTAAACAGGCCAGCAAGGCAGGAACAGGCAGGCATTCACAAACCCATACAACAGACAGAAAGACAGCACACGTATTGACAACAACAAAAGACAGAGAGAGAGACAAGACAGACAGAGAGACAGATTAAGAGACTGACAGTTGGACAGACAAACAGACATACAGACAGACAGACAAACACACAGCAGAGTAAGTCTAAAAGCCAAATCTGACCGACTGTTCTATGAGGGTCAGGCTGCTTCGTGCTTTTTGTGTATTCCAATTATGTATAGAGATTATACTGTAAAGACGATACATGAAATTTGTCATCTCTAAACCTGGAGTAAGTGAACTATGGTGTCCTGATATCAAGAATCAAGGACTCAAAACATCAGTTTTCATATGTCTCAGCTGAATTTGGCCTGACAAGCCTAATTTCCCACAAAAACAGACAAAACAGGACAACATTAACCCCACATACACTGTCCCCTGTCCAGAGAATCAGGGTGTACCTGAGGGGCGATCCTTTGGGTGTGGCCACTCCATACCCTTTGGAGTCGAGGTTGCCTCCTACTTTCATGGTGTCGCAGGGCTTCCTCTGCTCGATGTACTCGTTCATAGAGGACTCCAACAGGTAGGCGTACTTCCCTTTTGACTTTCTCACTCGCATCACACCCTCAGTGGTGCTCTTGACAAAAACTGTAGGGTCTGCGCTCCGCATATATGACCACATCTTCTCAAAAACTGCTATCTTTGACCTCTAAAGTAAGAGTAGATAGTAAAGACAAAAAAAAAACATGGCTATTACATACACTATGTTACTGAATATGTAGGATAGTGTTTTCTCTCAAAGTTCAGCTGCCTTTGACTGAAACTGACATTTAGGGAAATCATCTTATCTGTATTAGTTTTCATCTGCAGCTAACCTAGCTCAACAGAAACACTGGAAGCAAGTGGAAGCTCCATCAAATGGTAAATGTCCTTTTAAATGACAGAATTCAAAGATATTGTTGCACAACATGAACTTGGTGGTTAAAATGTAGCCTGTGTCACACAGTGCTCTCATAGTCTCACTCAAGTTTTTGTTTAAATATTACTGCTATTCAATAAATGTTCTCAAATATTTGCTAAGATGTTAATAAGCCCGGTGCAAAATGTCCCTCAGAAACATTTTGCCAGTACTGTTCAGAAAAAATGTGACTAATAAATTGTTAGTTTCTCCATGAATATTAGAAGTATAATTAACAATAATATGGATATGTGAAGGTAAGGAGAGCAATGTGTCCTCACACTGAAGAACTCTTTAGTGGAGCCTCCATCTAAGGTGCCATAGGCGATCTCAGTCTGCTTGGCCAGGTCCTCAGCACTTTCTATGGGGGAGACCATCCGTTCTACAGTGAGGAAGGCTGCCAGGTTGGCTGTATAGGAGGAGATGATGATGAGGGTGAAAAACCACCAAACTCCTCCTACAATACGACCTGAGAGAGATCTGAAAAAAAGGAGGAAGGGAAGATGACAAGTAAATTGCCAGTCATCTTAATGAGGGTGATGCACGCTCAGATTTAACAGGGACTGAACCAGTGACCTTTCAGCCACAAACAATAAACAGGAATCCTCGGCTACTGTGAGGCTGCTAGGCATGATATTTTTTAAGAAAATCCACTTTTCAGCCTGCACCATAGTATATGCAAATACACTTGACTTAGTTGTCAGCAGACATATGTTCCATGGTATATGCAGGAATCATTAAGTTAAATTCAGTACCTTTTAAGGCCTTTCAGAAGCTTTCCAATATATTTTATGACCTCAACACCATTTCAAGTTGTAACCAGGTAACTTTTTTGCTTGTTATCTTATATAAAGTCAGTTCAATGTGTAGTGTTGTTAAAGCAACAGTAGTCAATGGGCATGTGAATGAGCAAAGTGTCTGATGATGCCAAATGGATTCCACCAGGCTAACACTGACATTGTGCCTATGCAGAAGAATTCCACAAGCTACGCAGCTATGTAGGATAAATAAATAAATTCACACAAAGTTTTAGCATAGCTCTACAAACTCCTGGGACAAATAGGCTACTCACATGGAAAAACAGCTCCAAGATTTAATACCTCTTAAAATGAAGATTCAGAATTTTTAAAGGCCTTATTTTTGCTAAATATTTATTATCTCTTAGTAACTTTTAAGACCCTACGACAACCTGAGTACAATTACAGTACTTAAGCATGATGTGCAGCGGTTAGCACCGTCTCCTCAGAACAGGAAAGCTCCAGGTTCGAATCTCATGGCTGAGCAGAGCCTCGAGGAGAAAGGACACCTCAGATTAAGGGTGAAAAGAAAGGACATCTCATATCATTTAAGATGTGTTTCCTCAGTCCATCTCTCCTAGCTTCATCCCCTTACATCTTATGTGGGTGGGACTAAGATGCAGGTGAGGGAAACGTGGTTGCAATTAAGAGACTTGGGATTCTGTGCCAGCCTTGCAATAGATTGCTCAGTGTCAGCTGTGACTGGCTCCAGTTCCCCTGCACCCTCTACAGGAAAAGCAGATGAAGGTAACCCTTTGCATCGTAGACCAAATCTAATATTTCTCCACCACAGGAACTGAAAGTGGCATAAGCTGGCGCTTTCAATACCGATGATCCAGCCAAACCTGAAAGGCTGATTTTTGTAAATATAGCAGTAATGCAGATTTACTACATATCACAACACACAGGCACACCTGTATGCTAAACCTGCAACGCTGCTTTAACGAGCATATGAAGAAAATGATTACTGAAAAATGCATAAATGCGCACACACAGATAGTGACACACTCATACATAAACACATACACACTGAAAAAAATAACAAGCTAACACACACACACACACACACACACACAAGTGCAGTAGATCCAGAATAGAAACCACCCCAGGCCTTAACACAGCAGTAACATACAACAACCTGGCAGCATGTCACATCCAGTTGTATGTTTTATGTTAACAAGTGTGTGTGTGTAAGTAATGGTATGTGTGCATTAATAAGAGCTAAAATTCACTGGTGGTATTTTCATACTTCTAAATTCATACAAAAACTGAAGGCTAAATATGAAAGAAAGGTACTAATACATTCCTACACATTTATGAAATAGTTTTTCCCCATTTCTTGGTTAACACCAGGTCAGTGGCGGTGGATGCCTAGCAGCTGGTCTGGACCAAGAATAAAGCAAGTACAAAACCACCCATAAAGCATAATTTTGTCTTTTATAAGGTGATAATTGTTAAATGCTGTCAGCACAGCTTGCTGCACTGTCCCCAAGAACCAAAAAATAAACAAACTAATACATGAGTCACTTCTATGGATGCAACTGTCCAGCAAAACCACAGCAACCCAACCCAAAAACAGAAAGTCTCTGCAGTCAGAATCAAAAAGCTGGCATCCACTGCCTGTTAACAGAGTCAAACTGTCTGTGTCTGTTCACATGTCAGTATCCTGATATACAGGTGCGTGTGCAGGTGTCCTACCTAGGGGAGATGTCACAGCCCTGCTGCATGAAGGCCCCGAGTGAGAACCACAGAGAATTAAAGATCCCAAAGTCATTGGTGTATTCTGGAGTCTCTTTTTCTTTCTGTTGGTTCTGGTTCTGGCCCTGAGCCTGGGAGTACCCTGAGAAAAACACACAACAATATACAGTGGTGTGAAAAAGTGTTTGCCCCCTTACTGATTTCTTATCTTTTTGCATGTTGTCACACTGTAATGTTTCAGATCGTCAAACAAATTTATATATTAGTCAAAGATAACACAAGTAAACACATCATGCAGTTTTTAAATGAAGGTTTTTATTATTAAGGGAAAACAAAATCCAAAACTATATAGCCCTGTGTGAACAAGTGTTTGCCCCCCTGTCAAAACACTGGTTTATCGCACCTGAGTTCAATTTCTATAGCCACACCCAGGCCTGATTACTGCCACACCTGTTCGCAATCAAGAAATCACTTAAATAGGACCTGCCTGACAAAGTGAAGTAGACCAAAAGATCATCAAAAGCTAGACATCATGCCGAGATCCAAAGAAATTCAAAAACAAATGAGAAAGAGAATAATGAAGCTCTATCAGTCCGGAAAAGGTTATAAAGCCATTTCTAAAGCTTTGGGACTGCAGCAAACCACAGTGAGAGCCATTATCCACAAATGGCGAAAACATGGAACAGTGGAGAACCTTCCCAGGAGTGGCCGGCCAACCAAAATTACCCCAAGAGCGCAGCGACAACTCATCCAAGAGGTCACAAAAGACCCCACAACAACATCCAAAGAACTGCAGGCCTCACTTGCCTCAGTTAAGGTGAGTGTTCATGACTCCACCATAAGAAAGAGACTGGGCAAAAATGGTTTGCATGGCAGAGTTCCAAGACGAAAACCACTGCTGAGCAAAAAGAACATAAAGGCTCGTCTCAGTTTTGCCAGAAAACATCTTGATGATCCCCAAGACTTTTGGGATAATACTCTGTGGACAGACGAGACAAAAGTTGAACTTTTTGGAAGGTGTGTGTCCCATTATGTGTGGCGTAAAAGTAACACCGCATTTCAGAAAAAGAACATCATACCAACAGTAAAATATGGTGGTGGTAGTGTGATGGTCTGGGGCTGTTTTGCTGCTTCAGGCCCTGGAAGACTTGCTGTGATAAATGGAACCATGAATTCTGCTGTGTACCAAAATATCCTGAAGGAGAATGTCCGGCCATCCGTTTGTGACCTCAAGCTGAAGCGAACTTGGGTTCTGCAGCAGGACAATGATCCAAAGCACACCAGCAAGTCCACTTCTGAATGGCTGAAGAAAAACAAAATGAAGACTTTGGAGTGGCCTAGTCAAATAAACCAGAGTTAAGTTATGTTTTGACAGGGGGGGGAAACACTTATTCACACAGGGCTTTGTAGTTTTGGATTTTGTTTTCCCTTAATAATAAAAACCTTCATTTAAAAACTGCATGATGTGTTTACTTGTGTTATCTTTGACTAATATATAAATTTGTTTGACGATCTGAAACATTACAGTGTGACAAACATGCAAAAAGATAAGAAATCAGTAAGGGGGCAAACACTTTTTCACACCACTGTATAAACCAAGCTGCCCTATGATAGTGGAAACTGTCAAATCAAACCACAACCCAAGCGACAAATGAAAATAAACCAGATAAAAAGGAGGTTTCAATCCTCAGTGATGAGGACGATGATGATATACCCGGAGAGTGAATGAGTTCAGAAGAAGAAGCCGGCAAAGTTCGTCGAGAGGTAGAGGAGGGCAGAGTTTCATCTTCGTGTTCAGAGCCCTCTCCCTGCCATTCATAAGGACTGAAACGGCTCACCTGACAGCAAATAAGGACACAAGGAGAGAGGAAGATACTTGGTTTAGTTTTCCTTGTAAAAAGTGAACACAAGACACTGCGTGTCTCCAGTGGTGGAAGAAGTAATGTGGGCTCGTATTCATTCGTGTCTCAGAGTACGAAATCACTCCTAACTGGCCAGAAATCCTCAGAATAACACATTTTTGGTACTACTTTTAGAAGCACAAACATTTTATCCGCATTCCTAACTCAGGCAACCACTCCTATCTCCACCTAAATGTTGTAGAGCTCCAGAGGAGTCCTAACTGGTCAGGAGCTGCCACGAGGCGGATGTCAGACAGAGATGTTTAGATTTTGTGGGAGGCGAGATACTCACATTTCATGACGCTAAGCTTGTTTGGACCTTTTATGACAGACCTTTATCAGAATTCTGGGGCTCAATCAAAAAGAACACCACCTGCTGTCCCCACAGAATCAAGGTTTGTTGTAAATTTGTTGGAGTCATCAATGGCACATGAATTTAAATTGTGGCCCTGAGCTCCAACGAGAACACATTTGTGAATTGCATTGACACTTCATTAACACGAGTGCAAAGTACATGATCCTTGAGTTGGTGGCCAAATGTTCCTGATCTACACACACAACTCAATGGTGAGAGTATATATGGAAGGTCATGGTGTTATGGCCTGTGGTGTAATTATAAACAACAATACACGCACACTTAATATAAATACACAGTGCAGTCCCCCTCCCGCTCACCAGGAACAGCACCACACTGACTCCGATGTAGGCGAAGACGATGCACATCCAGATCTCGTAGGCCAGCGGGTCGAGGAAGGAGAAGACACCTGGTTTGGATTTGGTGGGTTTCTTGATCATGATGGAGATTCCCAGAGACATGAAGGGTTTGGTGAAGTCAATCACCTGCTCACGAACCAGAGTGATGGTGAGCGGGGCAACCGCCATGTCGGCTTTCTGCAGGAGGGCAGACAGAACAGCTGTTCAGATACAACGCATCATGCAGCCACTATCTACACCGCTTATTCCTGAATAAGGGGTGGGGGCTGGAGCCAATCCCAGCCCACACTGGGCGAGAGGCGGGGTCCACCCTGGACAGGTTGCCAGTCTGTCACAGGGCTGACATGTAGACAAACAACTACACACACTCACACTCACTCCTATGTGCGATTTAGAGACACCAGTCAACCTAAGCTGCACAGGGAGAACAAGCAGACTCCACACAGAAAGGTATATTTTCTTCCCAAACCAAGATACTTACCATTTATTTTTGTACTATCTCTGTAAATAAAGAAGTTCAACTTGAACTACTGTAGCTGTTCTCAGCTGCTTTATCACATCTAAGGACAAGAACTTTGTCAAACATCTGCACCAACCTGCTGGTCACTGGACTTACCCCGTACACCAGTTCTCCCACCATGCCGTTCCACATCTTTGTGTCAAGGTCTCTGGCGCCGTACTTGCCGTCAGCCACCAGCTCAAGCCGGTAGGAGAAACCGACATGTTTAGCGATCTCTGAGGCCAGTTCAGCACAGTAGCCTTCATACTTGTCATTTCCAACAAACTGCTCATGGTTCTTCTTCAGCATCATGTAGGGAGCTTCCTGCACAGAGACATATGGAGACAGATGATGTGGACACTTAGATGTTCTGGGTTTGAAAGGGCAGCTCTGTTACTGCCAGATAACTTTAGTTTATACCTTACCCAACTATTTGATCAGATTATTTTTCTTGTTTGACTTTGATTTGTCTTCTTTATTTGGTGAGACACCTCAATAAACCTACCAGGAGGGGTTTTTTTTTTATTTCACCAACACAGTCACAACTAACTAATGAACAACTCACAGATACACTAAGCCTATTTCCTGTCCTGCTAGTGGTAGGGTTTGGCTCCAGCAGCCATTTCTATCTTGGATCAGGTTCCTCACTGGCAAAATGCCTGGATTTTTTAAACTCAAATGCTGACTGATCTTTCATTGAACCCTTTATCCCTGTCAAAAATAATAGGAAACCTTTGGAGACTGATTTCAAACTAACAGTTCCCCATCAGGGCCTCCAGTATTTAGAGATGGTAGATGGTGAAAATGTGTGGTAAAAAGTAGGCTACAGATGTTCATTAGATGTATCAGACACATTTAATTAACATCATATTTTATGCTGCTCATCCTGGTTTCCAGGTGTTGTCAACAGGTTGTCAACTGTAGTGTTTCTGGCTGCTCTGACAGCACAGGGCCATTACCAATCTGTTACTGATAACCTTAGGTACTTTGAAGTTACCAAAGATAAATCTAATTAGAACTGATAGGAGCTTTGCATTCAAAAAAAGCGCCAGCAGTACATAACCCTAGTTATGGTAACACTGTTCTGGACTGTGATCCTGAGTCCTTCATTCACCTTATTCCAAAGCTGAAATACAGGGGTTGTGTTAAGGCCTGAGGTGGTTTCTATTCTGGATCTACTGCACTTGTGTGTGTGGGTGTGTGTGTGTTAGCTTGTTATTTTGTCAGTGTGTATGTTTATATGTATGAGTGTGTCACTACGTGTGTGCATTTATGCATTTTTTAGTAATTGTTTTCCTCATATGCTCATTAAAGCAGCGTTGTAGGTTTAGCATACAGGTATGTCCCAGCTAAAAAAAAAACTGAATAAAACCAGAGGCTGGGTGTTGTGACGGTTCCCTAGTCTTACCAATATGGTGGTGACAATGTAGGTTTTATTCAGCAGGCCGTAGAAGTCCTCCAGCACCGGCCTGTAGACTGCTGTGCTCACGTAGCCTTGCTTCTGGTTCCAGTAGCCGATCTGAACACACATACGACTCATCAGCCTCTGTTCACCGTCTCAGCTGTAATCTGACTTTTTTTCAAACAGGTTTCTGTCAGAAGAATTTCCCCTGTCTGTCATTTCATCATTTGTTTGACTTTTTTCACAATAGAAAGCTTAGAAAAACAACACTGATAACAGTTTGTCAGAACATTAAACCCACCATGCTTAGACATTGTAAAGGGGGGACATAATGTGATGTTTATTAGCATTAAAACCCAAGTTGGCCAGATGTAAATACATAGAACAGCAGGCCGCCTCTGTGCTGTTCCTTCAAACGCTGATGTTTTTAATCTGTCACTGGACTAATTTGCCTGACTGTCATGGTTCTTCAGATGTAGTGTTTCTAATAGTGGTTGTTTCTTACTTGTCCCAACAGAAATCACAACGGTGCAAAACAAAACACGTCACTGCATCAAGGGCTTTGACCAAATAAGGCTGGTAGAAAAAAGACTGAAGCCCGCACACTGACAAAATAATCCCACAAAAATACTTTTTATCTTGGCCTTTTTGTCTCCATCAGGTATTTTAGGCTTGTATCTTACCTTACAAAAACATTTCAACCTGCTTTGCATATTTACAACATTATGTATAGAAACTACACACTTGGAAATAACCAGTAGTACGACAAATCCTGGCACAAATATATTTTCCAGTTGGTAAAATGCCACCTTATTCACCAACAATTACAAGTCTGGCTTCTACTCCCCCACTCCAGCCTTTAAAATGTTCCATTTGAAGCCTGGAACTCTGTGTGGCATATCTTAAATAACTATGCAGCTTATTACAATGATAAGTCAAACTATAATGCTGTGGTGTCTGATGGGAGTTCAACAGAAAGCTAAGAGTCTGCAGGTTTTTGCACCAGACAAGCACTGCAGCAGCTGATTTTCCTGATTATCACACCTTTATTCAGAGAAGAGGGAGCTAATTATTGAAATAAGCTGATGCAGTGAAAACCTGCCAACTCCCGACTCTGTAGAGTGCGACTCCCCACCAAACTTCTGCTCGATTTTAACCCATTTAACAACAAAAAAGGAAAGGAGCAGCAGCACCTTCCTGGGTCCGAGGTGGCTGAGCTCCATCACAGTCAGGGTGTAGTTGGTGCGATGGCCTCGCTCATCAAACTGAACATGACCTGTCAGCCCCTCCAGGCGCACCTGCAAGCACGCACACACACACACACACACACACACACACACACACACACACACACACACACTGTATATACAGACCACTGTGGTGTGCATCTGTGTCATCATGCAGTATTAGAGCCAGTGTTTAGTAATCCTGATATGGAGGTTGGTTCCAGGCGATTAACAGTGGTGAAGGAAGCATTAAGGTCCTTTACCTAAGTAAAAGTACTAATACCACACCAAAAGTACTCTGTTACAAGCATGGATGGATCAGTGAGCAGGCCCAGGGACCCAGGACCAGACCGTCTGTATGAGTCTGCTAATATTTTTGTTGGAAAGTCAATCAAACAACTACAAATAGAGACACAGGGCAAGTAAAAGAAGAAAAAGGGAAATGATCAATTACCAAAAAGAGACAAATCGACCGCAAAGAGACACAGAATGACCTCAAAGGAAAACAAAGGAAATCTGTGGCTGTGTACCTGCTGCAGGGCTCTTTGTATGTCAATGCCCTGTCCCCAGGGAGCAGGGGGGTTGGCCAGACACTCCCCCGCGTTGCCACGGCGAGAGATGTCTATCCGTTGCCGCCGAAGGTTCTGGAAAGCTGTCGCCATGACATTGACGCCATCGTAGGTCAGAGCACCTGTGTACTGAGGATAATAGAGAGGTGCAGCGGTGTTATCTTATAATCCTTAAGATTTCCATAAAACCCTGTTTTTCAAACTGTTTAGGCAGGAGACATGAAATCTGTTTACACTCTGTCTTTAACCCTTGTTGGGTAAAATTATTAACAAGGCATACTTTAAGGTTGATTCTAATATTTTATGAATTAAAAACTTAATTAGTAGAAGATTAACATTATGCTTGTTGACTAGTCAACCTGTGTGTTTACTCAAGGGAGACTGATTCACTAAAACACTGAATCACATTAGATTTACAGCTTTAGCAAAGAGGGTCCACAGTTGTTTTATGATCACCACCTGGCTGATGGGATGGGGGAGCGAGAGTTTATTGGGGAGTAGGAACACAGATTAGATCTGAAAGCCAGGAAGAAGACAACTTCAAAAGACAGGGCCATATACAGACACACACAGGCAAGATAGTTTAAGTAGCCAAATGGAAAGCCATGTTTTATAGAGTGTAGTTAGTTAGTTGGAAACAAAGCAACAAGTGAGTGTAGGAATTTAGACAGAGTAGGATTTTCTCTCTCTTTAGGAAGCTGCTTTTCTCATTGGAGCAGAAAGGACGCAGGAGGAGGACGGATGGATAGATGGACCAATAGAACAGCACGAGAGGACCGGACCAGTTTACAAGGGCACATTTGAAATTGTATAAAAACAACTGAATGGAGGAGGACAGCGTTCCTTCTCATCTTGAAGACAGGTTGAACGGTTTTGCTGTTGAGGTCAGGGCTTCAGATAGAGATGGAACCCAGAGCTCTGTAAATTGCTTTATTCGATGGTCTGTTTAGTTATGATAATAAATGTTTGAAAATTGATATTTGATTCTGATTATTCTTCATGAAAGAACACGCTGCACCCTTAAGGCATTAATTATGAGGAAAATGGTCCTTGTTATTGTTATTCAGAATTGTGCTAAAATTGAAGCCTTTTTTGTTTATTTTACAAAACCCAGTTTTAATTAAAAGTTGACTGCCCATACACGTGGACACCAAACAACAAGTAAAAAGGGCCACAGCTGACGGAAATATCATGTTTTAGGTTACGGTCTATATTTAAAATGGACAGAAGATATTAAAGAGCCAACAGAGAGGAAAAACTCAGATATTAACAGCTGTGATTAAATGCCTGTGAAAACAGCACAGTAAGCAGGAGAACACACCCGCTGCTGATGAACAAAACTAATCACTGTGTTGTCACTGTACGGAAGGCAGAACACAGTCAGCTTTTGTAGGCATGCGTAAAGTTGGAATTTTATGCAGTTCTGGGTTATCCTGTATGACCACTGTTAATATCTTGTTCTCTTTAATTATAGGCTAACTTAAATCATCTCTGACTAAATACAACAGATAAAACAGCAGGTTACACAAACAAGAAGAGTCCTCTGCTGCATGACGTCCACATGCTGTATGTATGTAATGTGGTCTGAGTGGTATCAGCCTCAGTGTTTGCTATTCACGTTCCTACTGCTGGATCAGAGCTGGATTAAGTTAAGTTAATGCTAACACAACATTTCTAGTGTTACTGAAGAAATTATCTAATTTTCACAGGGAATGCTTGTTCAGATCCCAGTTCTGGAGGCCTATGGGAAAACAGATGTGAGGTGCATCACTACTGACGACAGCTTTTTCCCTCTCTCTCTCTCATTACTGAGATCGGACCACAGCTCAAGTTAGTAAATGGGGTGGGCAAAAAATTAGAAACACCTCAACAGGGAACACAGGACCAGTGAAACAAACATGACATATAGTTTCAATTACAGCCTTGAATCAATGAAATGACCACACCAGTAGAGACCAGCAGATGGTTGTGGTTTGTACCTTGAGCCTTCTGCGGGCCAGTTTGAGGTCTTTGCTGTCAAAGTCCAGCCACTCCTGGTTGATCCTCTCCACATCTGGATCAGAGTGGTTCACCAGCTGAAAGCCTGTCACGTTTGCTGCCAGCTTCTGGAAGTCTGTGATGTTCAGGTCTAAGAAGCCCTGACACACACACACACACACAGAGCGACAGGTATCAGCGACTTAACATTCTGTATTCGTGTTTGTCTGGTTCCTTCCAGTAAACAGACACACTCACCAGATTGGCCAAGATGTAGTGGTAGTTCTTCAAGTTTCTCCCCTGAGTAGCAATCTGAGCGAGACAGAGGGAGTCAGCATAAATGAGATGCTAATTACATTTTCCTGATGTTTCTAATGATGATAAAAAGCATCCATTAGACTCATACAGTATGTGTGTGTTTCTGTGAGTGTGTGTGTCCTCTCAAACAACTGCTAATTGGAAGACGCGGTCCCTCTTTGAGGCATTAATTGCACATCTTTACCATCAGAAAAAAAACGGAATAAGAGAGCGAAAGAGAGGAAGAGAGTCTGCTCAGATTTATAAGAGTCAACTGACACATGACAGGAAAGGGAGAGGAGAAAGAAGAGGAAGGAAGACAAAAAGAAAAGGAGAAGATGGAGGACAGTAGGAGTGAAGTTATACAGTGGCGGTAGAGAAACAGCTGTAGAGAGGAGGAGGAGGAAGCAGGTGTTGGCTCCCTCTGCTCCCTCTCCTTACCCCTGGAGGAGGGATGGGGAGAAGGCTGTCTGAACAGTCCTCCTCCACCACCTCTATACCACTTCCTCCTCTCCTTCTGTTGTTTGGGTTCAAGTAGAGATTCACAGATACCACCCTCTAGTACTCATAAAAGGTGCCCGATACTTCACACTAGTGAACCTCATACCGGTTGAGCAGGCAGTTATGAACAAACCGCAGGTTCAGCATTACAATAACAAGTAGAGGTTTTCTAAGTTCACAAGTTTTTTTTTATTACAATCTCATTGAAGTTGGTCTTTATTGTGCTCCTCTTTTTTCCTAGTTCATTGTCATGTCTCCAGATTTCCAAAAGCAGTAAATCCTATCCACCATGTTTAACTCCACATACAAAGCTCCACCTGATCCTTCAGTCACATCCAGCTGAGCTAAACGAGCCAAAAGATGACAAACTGAACACCACCTGATAAGCTCAGCCAGGCCACATGACCCTAAATGGAAAGTAAGTTCAGCTGAAGCCAGCAGCTTCATTTAACGGATCCAAAGCACCAACTGATAATTCCGTCTGTCCCCTCAAAGCGGAAGGGGAGCTTTTCCCGAATGACGGCTGGTTTCTGGCCAGAGCTCATACTGAGCAGCTTTTGGCTTCATCAAAAATCTTTGCCTTCTGTACTCTCTACCCCCCAACCCACCACCACTGCAGAAACACATCCCTGAACCCATCAACGTCATCTCCCTCTGTCCTTCACTCAATTATAAGTGAAGCTGAATCAAAGTCTTCTATTAAAATCAAGTAGTGTGAACACAGCTGCAGCTGAAGAGCAGCGACGTTAGCAGCTCGTCCTTCTGCTCTCAAGACAGCAGAACCAACAAAAACACAGACAAATCACTCAGATTCCGACTGTTTAGATTAGTAAAAGTACAAATACCTCACTGTAAATATACTCCAGTACAGAGAGTCGTCATTTAGTGAAAGTGTTATACAAGTATATAATCATCATAAAGAAAATGTACTTCAGGTCTTAAAGGTAAAAGTACTCCATGCAGTAGAATGTGCCTGATGACTGGTATATTATTATATGACATTATTGACACATTAATGTTGAGGTGTTGTTGAAGTTTTAACTATTCTGTTCCTAATCCACTTGTTGGTTGGTCTGACATATGGCATCACAATTACCCACAGCTGTGAGGTAGCTGTGGGTAAAGCAGTCGTCTCCGAACTAGAGGGTTAGAGCCATCAGTGTGAGATGGCGCCGCAGATGGCTGCCTCAAACAAATTCCTTTTGTTTACCATACTTGGCCAAATAAAGATGATTATCCTTATTATCCTTATCCTTAGCCCCCACGGTGACTCCTTGAAATGAATTTGCTGACCTTATTTGGGTGATTGATGAAGAATCAGGGCACGAGAGTTTCCCAGTCCAAGAAATGTATTTAACGGGCTCAGGTGAGATTTGCACATACTAAAGCATAAGGATATGATTCAATTTTCACAAAGGATCGGTGGCTTGTCTTGTGCTTATGGTGGCCAGAGAAATTCCTGGCATTTACACTCTAACTTCAGCCTAACCTTATCTTTAATGGTGTGTCTAAGCTTGTATAGCAGCTTATACCAAAGATAAAATGCAGGCTTTGAGGCCCCATGGGACTCTGTAAAGCCTAGATGACCAGTCACGTATGCAACATATTCCACACTGTGTGTCTTGTATATAAGTAAATCAAATTAAAATAGCTTTGTCTGTGAATACAACAAAGGCTGGAAAAAGTGGCCTTTACAGGAGGTCCATTTTCATACTTCTAACATGCTACACAACATTGAGCGGTGTTAAAACAAAGAAAATGTTGCTCTGTATTGTAACGTCTCAGTGGCTTGATCACTGTATCAGTAAGGCATGCTGACATAGATTCTATTGAGATCGATCATGATCAATTATATACCTGTGAGTATAGTCTAAGTTCCTACTTATGTCAACTCTCCTTAAATTAACCTTCCTAAAAGAAACAATTGTACATCTCCTTGACATTAACAAAGCAAAAATAAGTTTCCAAACCACAAAAGTAGTCCCTTCTATAACATAAATATGAGTGATATTTAACAAGTAAAAACATTAAACAATTTGTTTGATGCGAACCTGATGGTGTATTGTGGTGTTTTCTTTGCGTTTTATGTCTGGTCTTAATTTGTAATTTCATTTAAAGTAAAGAACAAAGGCGATCTCTACACTTGACAAGTGAGACAACAGATCAGTATCACTTATTCATTATTCTCTGTTTCCAGTACAAGCGTATTCTTGCCGTTTCAAGATCTGTTGACAATGCACAATCCAGATAAGTAAAAGTCAACATGGCCGTCATACTGGCAGCAGGAAAAGTTACAAGGAATTTGCTGATGATTTAAAAAACATGTTTTGGATGGGAAACACAACACTAGGAGATTGTACCCTGATAGTATAACTTTCCAGTTTTCAGTGTAAAATATTTGAAATAAATATTCTTTTCTGTAAATTTACAGTAAATTGCTGATTACTAGTTGCATTACGTTCACAGCAAACTGTGCAATTTTTACAATAAATTATTATTGTAAAATGACAGCTTTATACTGTGCCTTTACAGTAAGCTGAACTATCAGTTCACCTTCTGTGATTTAAGAGTATGCTGCTGTAGAATTACTGTACTGAGCTTTGATTTCATAGTAAAATCACAATCCGTGTGATTTCGCAGTGCAATAACAGCATGTACTGTATAACAGCATGGCTGTGGGCATAGTAGTGTTGGGCTGTCTGAACTGTAATATATTAACAGCTACCACTGGGTGGATTGGCATGAAATTGTTTACAGAAATTTTTGACACCGTCTCTAGTGCCACCATGAAGCTGACATTTGTGTTTTGAGTGAAATGTCTTGACACTTATATGGATAAACTGCAGTGCACTTGATACAGACAGTGATGCCTTAATTTATTGTCCTCATCTGATATAAATTGTCTTTTGTTTAATACTTTGTTTTATAACTGATGCCTTTGAAATTAATGCCATTACATGGATTTGTGTGTTTAGTGCTAATGCTAACATGCATCATACAGTGGCACTAAGATTGTAAACATGGCAAACTAATGATATACAGTATTCATGAGCCCTATGCAATTTAGATAGTGAGCAGGCCGTCTACCTCTGCTTGTCGGACATAACAAGTGCTCTTGGGGGCTAAGGTTAGGGTTAACTCTCACTACTTGCTACATGTCTTGCCCATGCTGTGCTATAAATAGCAAAGCAGCATCTGCAATTAGAACACCACCAGTGTAAACTAAACATGAACAGAACAGCAGAGTTAAGTAATTATATTTGTAATACAAAGATGAATTAGTATTTTATTTTGCATTCTCAGAAGTTTGGTCTTGACCATATAAAGAGTTTATGTATAGTGTTGATCATGATGATCACTTGATCAAACAAATGGCAATGAAGTGGACAGACCCCAGTGATAGGCAAGAATAGTAGAGAAATACAAACTGTCTACTTTTTAACAGCAAAACAAGACTTATTCAGAGTGGTTTAGGTGAAAATGGAGTTTAACTCTGATTTCGGGGAAAGTCATGTTTTCACCTAACCTGCTTTAACCTGCAGGTTTTTAAATGGTTTTGAATGTTACTACGGTGGCCTGTTAGCTTACACCACATTTGACTGACAGATTGCGATTTTGAATGTAAACATGCAGAAAGTTGAGCTCTGCAGCATTCAGAGCTGTGACGTCATCAGCGACATGGCTTTAATGTTCGTGACGTCACCAGGTCTCGCGCAGCAGCTCACCTCAAAACTGCAGCTTCACAGGCAATCAGACAACTTCTGAACTTCAGTAGAGGTACCACGCTAGTGAGTTAGAGAGTTAATACTCGATAAACACACGTTAAACAACATCTATTCTGTGAAATATTTCGGTATTCACGTAAAAAGCGATTCTTCCAGTAAAAAATGGCAAGTTCTAGTGACAGACCCCAAAACTGTAGAAACAACAGACAAACAGCTCCCAAGAACAAGAACATGAACTGCGAAGCCTTTCATGAGGAAATCGGGAGGCTCCAGGGGACGCTGAGCAGGGGCAGAGAGAGTTTTAACTACGAACAGAACTGGAGGATCCAACTTAGCCAAGAGCTAAGCCAGACAAAGGAACAGCTGGCTTACCAGAAAGCCAAGACTGAATCCTTTATCAACAAGGAGAAAGAAACTAGAAAGGAGCTTGAGAGGCTGAGGCAGTACAGTGACTCAGAAGCTCTCAGCGCCTCAAACATTGCCTCTCAGGTGGGCAATGACATCAGGAGGAAGAAGAAGAAAGATCTTCAGAGAGATTACGAGGAGCTGAAAGTGGCATACGCCATAAGCCAGGACAGGTTTACGGGTGAGCTCAACACGGAGAGGAACAAGATCAGCGCTCTCCAAGAAGAACTGGAGAAGCTCAGAGCTTCACACCATGAGCTCAGCGTGAAAAATCAAAAGGATGCCCTCGCTCTCAAACAACAGGTGGAAAGTCTTCACAGTGAGCATGAGACGGAAAACAAGTCTCACGGCGACACTGTGGAGCTGATCGACACCCTGAAGGCG